TTTTTTTTTTTTTTTTTTTTTTTTTTTAAGGGTGTTGTGGAGGCCAAGGACCAGACCCGCGGTGATTGCTAGTAATGGCAGATGTTGAGTTGCTGGCAGTGCTATCACCACTGACACAACATATTTGGCACATGACATGCTTAAACCACCAGTACCTACTGGTTGAGGCGGCCGCGGGCGTCAAGGGGAAGCCGAATCGGTCTGCCCCTCCGGTCCAAGTTCATTCAAGGTCGGGGGGTACAAAAATGCGGTAGGTAATTGGTGGCTTAATGCAGGCCTCTGAATTTGCCCCTTTCCGAAAGCTCAGAAAATTCAGAAGAAGAAGACAAAAAAAAAAATTGCACCCAACAGGGTCTCCAGTCATATTTGGAGGCATATTGATTGTCCGCTAGCTGCAGCCTGCAGGTGAAAAAAAAAAAGGAAAAAAAAGAGGGAAGTATCAGAGTTTGCAATTGGCAAAAGAAACATGCGCCAGCCACTTTGTCATGGCCGAAGTTCGAAGGGCGGTTGTAACTCAGGCCGGCAGTGGGTGAAAGTTTCTTATAGGCACTTGTGTCGTGTTTGGTACCGGTCCGTTCTCGGGTACCGGGCCGTCCCACATTTTTTCATTCACGCAATTTCGCGGTACTGGTCATTTCCCTAGTGCCCGCCCGTCCTGAGGGCTGGTTACCGGCCTTGTCTTCCTGGCCCGTTCGTGTTCCCATTGTTCCATTGTGGCTACTGGCTTGAAGTCTTGAACCACCCCCCACTCGAGTACTGCCTCCTAGCCCATGTGTCACGCAAAGCACACACACACACACACAGAGGGAGAGAGACATCATGATCTCTCTCTCTCTCTCTCTCTCTCTCTATCTATCTATCTATCTATATATATATATATATATATATATATATATATATATATATATCACACACACACACACACACACACAAACATGGTCTCTTCGTCTTGTTCTAAGTGATTGTCCACTTTGTATGTGCTCTGACCTTTTCCGATGTTCTCCTCAGTGATGAAGTGCAGCACCTTCAAGATGTGCCAAATAGTCGGTGCTGTTTGTTTGGAGTGCCTTAAACACTATCACTATCAGGAGGGTTGCCAAATAGTGGGTGCTGCATTTTCGTCCAAACAGATTCAAGTTGCCGCATTGTGCCTCCTCCCAGCTGAGCCAGCTCACAGCTTGCCACCCCAACCGACCCCATGGCCAATGAAGAGATGATGTATCTAAGGGACGCTGGACCTGGTCTCCAGCAGGTGTCGCTCCTCACCAAATAGACTGGAGCAGCCCGATTGACAAATCCTCAATCCCGGTGGCTGTCCTACTGCCACCAGGATAGAGGTTTTGCAGAAGGGCTTTTTTTTCTTCTTTTCTTTTTGGGAAAATTGTTGAAATGCCCCTGGAAGTTGGGGTATTTCGTCAGATACCCCTAATTTCTCTAAAAGGCATAGGTACGGTGAAATGGCCCTATGACAGTCGTGAAACTTTGGGAAATACCCCACTCATGAATTGGACCTGTCATCTTTTGCATGTACTCCTACCGGGCACTTGACAAGTTGACAACTTGTCTATATGCCCACGTATTTCTGTCCGTTGGACCCTGCAGATGGCAAAAGAAACACACGGGCCCTCGCGGCCCACGGCCAGGGCATATGGCATCGTTACGGTCCTACGGATGAACAGGACAGGGGCAGATGCAGAAGTTTGGGGCATTTCAGTGTACCCCTGTGTTCTAGGGGTTTCTACCGAAGTACCCCAACTTTTAGGGGCATTTCAACGATTTTCCCTTCTTTTTTTTTGGAGAAGGGCTTTTTAAACTGTTGCAGTAAACCGCGTTCAGCAGCGGCCTGGGCGCTGTAACCCAAGCCCAGGCCCAGCGAGCAGTGCGACCACGCGCTGCTCGGCCTCAGGCCGCTGCGGGTGACTGTGTGACCGCGCACAACAAGAAATTCAAAGGTCAAAGTGAACTGTAGGTCCAGGAACCTCGCCCAGGCCCTTGGTCGTGTGCATCGACTTGTACGAGTGCAGGTACCCAGGAGGATACAGTTTCAACCCAATCCAGGCCGTCGACGACAATCGATCTCGGCCGTGTCTGACTTGAGGACTGGGGCCCAGACCCCGCCGTCAACACTACATATTGGGCTGATTTCCTTTGACATCTAGACTCTCGCCTGGAGTCTATGGGGACTCGACGCTCTCGCGTCAATGCCGGCTCTATGCTGTCTTGCTGGCGAGACGCTGCGGAGAACTTGACGACCGGCGCTCGTCGCTGGTTCGTGGCTTGAGTGTGTTGTGCGACCAGCATGCTGGCTGGCGCACTACTGTCTGAGGGGTTATCGACGTGGCAGATGCCACGTGTTATCTTCGTGGCTGCTGCCACATAGTATTGCTGCTGAGATGGAAGGCGCTGGGTGCCTATATTGCTGTTTTGCTTGACAAATATTCGGAAGAAGGATCCAGGACTGTGGTTTGGGTCGTGATACGTACCTGGTGTCTTCAACTTCGTCGTCACGTTGCTGCTTGATGACTGGTCTGCTGGTGCCACGTGGCACTATTGTTCTACATTGTCTTGGATATCCGGATCTCTGATTGAGACATGATTATGCGGTTAGAAGGAGGAAGTGCGCGAAGAGGAAGTGGGCTGTAGGGAGGAGACTCTTCCACCCTCTCAAAGTCTATTCTCCCTCCTCCCTCTCTCGTCTGTGTATGCATTCTCTCTCATTTTGGGATCATTATTATTATGATTTATCAGCAGCGTTCGTCTATTTTGTCTTTGCGAGTGACGACTGATTATCACGACTGGGCACATTGCACTG